TTGGATTTGTTAATTATGCTCTTTTTAAGAGCTCAGTCTACCGTACACCTCCCCCTACAACCTTAACCACAGCAGAGGCTCTGAAGTCCTGATCATGAACTCTGACTGCAGAATTAATATGGATGTTTTCCTTGGACATCAATAATCAAATTTTACTTTTTTTACTGTTTTTTTCTTTTATTGAATATGTCAGGTTTTTGTTACTGAACTCGCTATACATCTCAAGTCTAATTTTGGTGAGGTCAACCAGATTGTATGAGCTCATCAAGTACTGTCAGAAGTAGCTTAAAAAATCCTCGAGGATATGCCCTCACAAAACAGACGTATAGCATTAAAATGAACGTTACCTGTAAGCAGAACATTAGAAACCTGTATGTGATGCATCAAAAACTTACACATGTACTTTTTTTCCATTTATTTATTTATTTATTTAAGTTCCATATATACCATCTATAGTGTACTTTTACGGGTAATCTGCTGGTTATTAAACAGCTTATTTACATTTTAATTTCAAACATTCTTCTGTCAGCCTCTCAGGGTTCACTGTGCTCTTGTTGATAAAAGTGGCAGCAGATTGATGATGTGCTAGAAATAGATATTTTTCTGTGAAATCTAGATCTAGCACAGAGTCAGTGACACAGTTTTGCCAATTTTTTTAAGACACTTCTCTCATCTTGACTTTATTTATTTATTTATTGTCATGTTGTCATAAGTGAATTGCATTTGTGCTTTGCACGATCACAACTTCAAAGCAACCCAAGATATAAGGCCTACTTCAAGGTATGAGTGTAGCCTGAAGTAGGATCATAATTTACACTTAAACCTGGAGATTTTTCTTTCATTTACTTTTTGTAAGCATAAACATTAATTGCCGCTTTGTTTTCATTAAGTATTGACAGCCTGCAGGTTATATTTCTTGTGGTTTTGTTTGTCTGTTTAAATGGCACACCACTTCTTTCAGAGAGATTAGCTATTATTGTTACTCCCCTCGAGTCTTATTAAAGCTCAACTTGTTCTTTGCGTTTAAACTGACATTTATTTTGGACAGGAGGATTCTGCGACATGCCTTAACATGTAATGATGTCCACCACAGCCGATAGAATGCCATCAGAACTAAAAGAAATACAAACTTTCACCTACTTATTGTTTTAACCTTAACTATCTAATAAAATGAACTTAAATGCGAGAGTTGCCTATGACGGCAGCAAAAATTATAATGTTAGGTAAATAAGAGGGTGCTGGTCTTTGGATGGGGATCTGTCAGTCTTGAGTTCATTTTGAAGTAATGCTGGACTGTTGCTTCAATAGACATGTGCTGTTTGCTGTATCTTCAGGGCAGGGCAGAGGGATTTTGTAGGCCAGCACAGCAACATTGTGACATAAGTTCTGCAGTCTGTGCATGTTGTCTGGGAAAGGCCACAGGGAGAATAGTGGGAGGTCAAGCAGATGCATGACCTACATACAGTCTAAGCGTCTGTCTGCAGACAAACATTCCCAAAGCACAGAGTTAATGCAGGATACTAATGAAGTTTTCATATAACTTTTTGCATGCAAAAGTATCTGTCTTGGTTTCATAATATCTGTCATATTTTACTGAAAATTAAAATCCAAATACCGAAACTTGGAGTACATAATAGATAAGTGCCATATATGGGGCAGGGCGTGGAAGTGGGGTCCGCTCCTCAATTTCATCTGCAAACTAGCAGCCCACATGCCCCTCAGAGAGCATGCATACTTTACTGAAATGGTATATCATTCACCAGTGGAGGAGTTTGGAGGCCACAAAAACATGAAACGATTCTCCAGCTGCCGTTGAACTCCACAGACCAAGCAGAAACATTTTCCGTTTCTTCAGTCTTCAATTTGAAATCACAATGTAGGACAACAGTTCCCTCATGTGTTTCAAACTTTATGGCATTTGAATAAAAACTATTTTTTATGTTCCTGGGAGCCCAATGCAATCAGGCATCGTCATCAAAATCTCTTGTGCTGTGACATCGACATCATCGGTGGTGTTACAGAGAGAACGGTAATCACTCGTTCATCAGATTTACTTCAGACTCAGCGGGTGTTTGGTAATGAGAAGGTGTGGGAGGTCAGGCGGCCGCGAGAATGTAAAATATCCACACACAATCTCAGTGTAACTGCAACTGCACTAGTACTGTAGAAAATGACAATATTGAAGGCATAACTAGTGTTCTGGTTCACTTTCACTTGTCACATAATGTTGTTTTTGGCAGGCATCTCTTTCAGAGCTAAAGAAGAGTGAGTCCTTGACAAAGTGCACAGAAAAAGCCCTAAATAAATGAAAACTGAGAACTGAAATTAATTATGCAAATGTTAATTTAAAAGATCTTTTTTCCCAGCTTGGCTCTAATTCTCCCATAAGTGTCAAAAACATAATTACCCCAAACTAATTTAAATAGCTGTTTGTCAGTGGTGAAAGAAAGTTTGTCATTTAAAGTCCAACAGATTCAGAACGTTGCTTTTGCTACATTATGCAAAACTGTTGTTAACTTTCACTGTTTAATAAAGTGATAATAATAAAAAAATACCAACTTTTATTCCATTTATTTATTATATGTGAAATGTTTTAGTTCTATATATTTTAGGTCATTCAACTCTTATTTTCATTTTTATCTTTTTATTTGTCACTAGCTTTATAATATAAATATATTTCTAGAATATCTATGTCTGTACAGTTTATAGATAGTAGCTTACAGATGCAGAGACACATCCACTGCAGACTGTCATCCAACCAAAGCCTGCATTCACAGACCGTGAAAAAATACATATAACTGAAGAGTCCCATAGTCCCACTCTTCTCTTTTGTTGTTTATTATTCTTTACAGAAAGAGGAATAGAAAGAGAGGCGCAGTAAACAGGAAATACTGTGCACTGAGAGGCAGCTGTGAACTGAACTGAGTGACATTGCAAATTCTACATAGAGGAGTTTTGAGAACCTCGAGCGGTGGGTTTAGGTTTATATTATGCAGAGAAAATGTTTAAATAGTATAACCATATTTAGAGTACAGACTAGTACAGTGTGTTGTTAAGAAAAAGTAACATTTTTATCTTGATAGGCCATCTCGATATATAAAAATATATTGAGTAAGCAATGATGATTTTTATCTAGCACCATTTTCCCCCCTTTCACATTTGCCTTTAACATCTGCTTTCCCTCTGTAGACATCTCGATTGAGGGGATGGGCTCAAAGGCGGAGGATCTACAGCACTGAAATATTTTTGTCTGTTTAAGCCATTAATAGTTGCCTTTGTTGCTCCAAAATGTTGATATTAACCACCAAAACGGAGATTTCAGCAGCGGTGTGTGGGCTGTTTTCTTTCTGCTTTTCTTTTTCCGTCCCTCTCTTCCTTAATATTTTTTCAGCAGTGGTGGGTGTTTAAAAAAGGAAGGTAGGCAGAAAAAACCCAGCTCCTCAGATGCTCTTAAGAAATGTTACCCATGCATCCACTGGTATGACCGTGTGCGCACAACAATCAAGTGTAACTTGCATTATAAAAGCGCTTTCAGTGCACACTAGCAGTAGAAATCTGTTATGCAAATGCCGGTCCATTTATCACTTTAAAGCTTTCTTCACAGGCTAAAGTAGGTAAACACATTCCTTTTTTTTGGTCAATGTTCTCTTCCTTTCCATGCTAACTCTGTGCTTAATACAGCTCCATTGTGTGAGATCCATCTTTATTTTTTTTCCTGCTTATACAAAGTCGTCAGATGTCATCACATGAAATGGAGCTCAGCTTCTAATTTATAAACACAGACAGATTGTCAAAATGTTGCAATCAATCTGAGTCAGTCTGCATCTCGATAGGGGCATTAGTTAGCGTTGTGTTCGGGCTAGATTTCTATATGAAAGTGTCATTAAACAGAGGCGCATTTACCTGCCATCCTCCAGCAGCTACGTCACTGCGGAGGGATTTTGTGTGATGAATTTCTGTATATGTAGATGGAAGCAGATTTAGAAAGTTTCTCTATCAAAGCTAACTGCTGTTTTATCACATAGCAAATGGGATATAATTGCCAACTTAACCACATTCAGTCACAAACAATCCCAGTCTTTTATTTTGGGGGCATTTTTAGCCTTTTTTGGACAGGATATAGATATAGAGAGCAGACAGAAACAAAATGTAGGAAATGGTACAAGGGTGCCTTGCTGGTGGATGAAATAAGAATTTCTGACAATATGCACTGGGTCTAGAATATCTAAGGGTCTGGTGCAAGAAGTACTTTAGCACAGTCAAAGGAAACTCTTAATTTGTCTAAAACAAATGAAGACAATGCAACAGCAACACTGAGCACTAGAATTAGTGTTAATAAAGGGGCACATGAGTACCGCTGATCAACTATTTCTCCAGCATAAAAAGACCATTAGTTTGGATTGACAACACTGATGTTTTTTTTAACATTCTTTCAGGATTTATCAGCTTACATCTCAGACACCTCAAAGTCCGATTGTTTTGTGGAAAATGTGATCCCAGTCTTTAAATATATTAGAAATATGCTTACGAAAGCACGGACTAATGCTAGGCAATAATTACATCTGGAGCTGAAAAAAAGTTAATTTTCCTAAGTAGACATAAAGCTGTGTTTTTACTTGAAGTCCCACGTTAGTGTTAAGAGTTACCTTAATACACTTATTGTGCTTTTGATGCTTAAAAGCAGGCATTTACGAGATCACACGACGCCGCTAGTTGATTTCATCTCCACATTTCTTTCTCAAAGAGCTCTGGTTCGTGTTTTATACTTCTGAGTTCAGAATCGAGGTTAAACTATTTCTCCTGTACTTAAGAACAAATTTAAATTACTGATTCCTTTTATTAATCCCCTTTTGTATCCACTCTATGTGTCATTTCAGGGGGTCTTGCTTACTTATATATCAGTTTGTTGAATTGTCAGTAAATGTGACTTTGTGTGTCCCGAATGAGGTCTGTATTTAACCTTTGCGTGTGTTACCTCTGTTTGCTTCTCACCTACACAGGAACAGTCTGTCTCCACGATCGGCTGACATTTCGTTTCTGTCAGACACTTCGATGGCTCGGCCGTTGCCACCTCCCCAACGTACAAGCACAGTGCTGTAAATCCTGCAGCCAGCACTCCCACTTCAGCAGGCCTCGCAGCTAAGGTGCAGCTCACAAGCACACTGATTGTACCACTGAGTGATGTAATCTAATCATCATTAAAAGTCAACAATCTGAGCCCTTTTTCTGAACTACGGACTGGTTATGAATCTTACACACACCTGGACTCTGCATGTTTGTGCTGATGAAATTGAACAAGCAAAGTAGCGAGATTGTAAATATTTGTTTGCTGCACATTTCTTTGTTACATCAGACATGGGAGTATCCAATCAATGTAGCCAGCAGTATGATGCATTTTTAGATATCCGGTTGTTCAGTGATGACGCGACGAATCCTACTTCCGGGTCTAAAGTAGTCTGCGTTTAATATGGCTTTTGTGTTGTTAACATGTTTAATGTTATGTATTTTCTTCTATTTGATCTCAAAAAGCCACTGTTGACCTCCCTCGGCTTTTATTACCGCTAATCATTTATTTAAGCTCAGTTTTTAAAACCTTAGGATGTAACTACAGGCCAGCCCATGCAGCAGTATATGAATGACTAACCTCGTATTGTGGATGGATTATCTCAGTTGTTCTCCTGGCTGAAGTTTGGTCCTTTTACAGCATCCTGCCATGCGATTACATTTGTTCCTGACCACCGAGAACACTCACGGTAACTTTTATCGAGTGGGAAAAAAGTTAGCTTGTTTATATTATGCTAACATAGCTGTGTCGCTAGCGGTCACGTAGCACATCATTATATACCAGCTAGCCAAACTTCAGTAACCCTACAAACGTCACTGCTGTTTAGTTTTCTGTCTTCATTTATGCTGGAAGTGATAACAGAGCTGTACGTTTTAATTTGTTTCCAAAACCCCGCAGCCAGGACATGCTATATTGTATTTAGATAGAAGCTAGCGAGCTAACTCCCTGCTAACTTCTAACTCCGTTAAATGTCATAAATTCCGTTTTAATGGATGCCTGGATGTTAAACTCAATTGTTACACCTGGTAGAGCAGAACGCTGATCATTTTATTACAGATGAAAGACTTTAGACAGTTTTTCAACTCTCAGTAATGCCATAGTGATCGTTTGATATATGGACCTGCAGCGGAGTTTAGACCCAGACACGGCTAGTGACGTCAGACTGAACAACCGGATAGACAAACCACTCATTTATTGTATCTTTATGGCTGGGACAGTGCTTTAATTTTTTGGACAGCAACGGAGACTGTACACGTTAGAACCGACAGGATATAGCTCTCACTGTGGTTTTACATACAGCATGAAGTGGTACAGATGTCATAAAGAAAAAATAAGTGGTGCATATTTTCTAAGTAACAAATAACTGACTGTTTGCAGAGCCCTGTCCCTTAAAGTGTGATTTCAGTTTATTTTAACCAGCTATATTTCTAATTTTTGTGGGTGTTTTGGCTCTCAGGTTTAGACATGCTATAAATGTGCTCTCCTACCAATGCAGGCTGTTAAAAATTCAGAAATATTTTCATTCTTTTCAAATCCTACACCTTTAACATTTATCATGACTTATGAAGGCCACCGTTGTTTAGTGACCACGCCCCCACTCTCTGCATTTATCTTGCAACTGGTAGTTTTGGTTACATCACAAAATCTGCATTTGATTGTGGTTTTCGGTTAAATGGAAACAAGAGAATGCATATTAGCCTTCAGTTTTTCTGTGGATAGGAAGAAGACAAATAGGTGGGAAAATCCTGAAGGTCATGAAAAAAGATGGCTTACCAAAGACCTGTGCTTGTGTTTTTGGCACTTCTCTTCTGAAGCATGATGAATTTAGTTGATTAAGAGAGTTTACTGAAAACAGAATGTGTCTAAACACCTTTGAAAAGCACTTAAAATCAAGATTAAAAAAATGTCAAAGACTGGTAACATTAAATGCTCTCCTTATAAGCAATAAACCATTCATTATAGCAGTTGCTGCCTTTGATAAAAAGCCCACAGACATGACCCTGATGACAGAGGAACTCGACACATCTGCCAGTTTATTCAGATCAGCCGTTCATAACTGTTCAGTGTTGTCCAGAAAAGACTGAAGGAGCCACTTCCGGATTTAGACATGTTGAATGCGGCTGTGTTGTGGCTAGGAGATGTGTGCAACCCAGTAATGTTTACACATACGAACATGAAAAATGATTTCAATAAAAAGTTAAAGGTAGTCTCTGAAATTGTATTTATAATGACCTTTACCAAAAAATGCTCTCCCTCTGTCAGCACAGAGAAACAGTTGCTGCACTGACAGAATTTGCAAGCGCCATTTGTATTTATTTCCTGTTTTATTTTGGAAAGTCTCAAAAGGATATCGAGCTTTTATTGTGAAAGTTTTGTGGAAAATAAATAATCAGATGGCGGTGCATGGCTTTATTTAATTAGCAACTTGCCCACATGAAGTCTCTGCTGCAGTTTATTAAACTAAATCCAAGAATTTTGTTTATATGTTATCCAATCTATGGATACACTACGCTAATTGAGCTAGCTAGCTTTACCTGCAAACATAGTGTTCCTACTGTTCAAATAGGGTCACCTTTGGTTCCAAGATAGCAAATACTCTTCCAAATTTTGACAAGCGAGCAGAGATGTGAAGCTTAGGTTTTATGCTGTGATTATTATACTGTAATCGCTTCGAGGGACAGTTTAAGCAAACTTTTACTTTGTGACTTTAAAGTTACAAAGTAAAATGTAAATTTCAAAAGGAAAAGCTGCAGTCAATACCTGGTGCTTGAGGCCACATAGCCAAAAAAAAAAACATTGTGTCAGGTATTGGCAGGCCCAGTGCCTTAACTTCTTGAGTACTGGATCATTTGATGTCAACAATAACTCTTGATTAAAATAATGGTCGAATGGAGGGAAATTAAGATAACATAGCACATCATAATACAATAGATTCAGAAGGGTAAATTAGTGGAAGAATCAGTAATATGTGGTATTTTATACTTTTCTAGGTGTTTAATTATTGCCATGTTCTGTTATGAGAATTCATGATAATTACATATTCATTAAAAACTTTCTTCAGAAACTGGAAAGCAGCTCAGATTTCTCAGTTCAGTGCCGTCATATATGGTCTTACATATCTAATGATTAAAAACCAATAAGCAAGCTTCTGTAAAGCTATTAAACAAGGGATGATAAGGAGTAAAGGGGAAAAATCACCACATATCTATATCCTTTTGTCAAAAATCACAATAAAAAGACCAAATTACATATGTATGTAGTGTAGCTGAAAAGAATTGTAATACCTAAAATTCTGTCCAGTGAATGCCAAGTTTTTATATATTTGTTATTATCAAAGATTCATACATCATCAGAATGTATGATGACTTTACAATTACAGAGGATTATTGTGTACCCCTGCCCTTTTAGTTGCTTGTTGCTCTGTTTGACACGTTTTTAATGTTATTGCACACCACTGTGCAAATGTCTCGATTTACCCCTCATCCTTTTAAAATTTGCTTCCAAACACCTAAACTTTCTTGTAGTGTTGTTTTAGTGTAGTGAGGGATGATTTTTGACAGAATGGAACAAAAAAGGAAGAGATTTGAATGTCCTTCAAGAAACCTGGAGAACTATTCTTAGAAGACTACTTAAAGAAATGAGAAGGAAGCTTGCCTAAGAGTTCAGTTGAAGAATAAAGGTGCTCATACCAAATATAAAATGTATTAATTGTACAAGAGTACAGGTACAGACTGGTTTTGCCATATATACTGTATTTCCATGTGTTTGCTGCACCTACGTCCTATTTTCCTAACAAAATATAAAGAAATGAGGCGTTGCTTGAGAATTTTGCACAGTACTGTAGCATTAACATGTATGCAGTGGCAGATTTACCAACTTGATATCAAGTAAACATGTAAACATTTTGGTGTTTTGTGCGACTATCAACGAGATTAATGTTGAACTCACTTGTGGTTCAAAGCAGCAGCTTCTTGGGAAATGAAAGAACTCGTAAATTACTTTTGCAGTTACCAAAATTTGGTAACTGCAAAGGCCATTGAAATAGGCCATTGAAATACCTCTGAAGCATGCTGCTGGATTACACATGTAATGATTTTTCTCCTAACTTTGTATAGGGAAAAGTCTTTGCCTGGATCATGACAAAGAGCCAAGGACTGTGACACCATGATAAATTTAAGTTATAACCATGACGAATGAAGCCTAGATGGTAAACCTGCCAGGTGGTTATTGATGTGTGTAGAAGGGAGCATGTTTCATTTTTTACCAAACAACAGGCTAATGGATGAGGACTTTAATCTGTCTGATTCCAGTAAAGGATGGGACAAAACCACTAAGCACTGACATAGAAGCATTTGGGGCCAATTAACACAACTGAAACATTAGGCCTAGAGACCAGGGTTATTTATATCGCAACTCAAAGTAATGGATATTATGCCTGGCCTACATTAGGTAGTATTTGGGCATGCTAATGGTAGTTGTTTATCTTGGAGCAGACATAGTATTTTTACAACATTTTGATATGTCATAACAGGGAAGGCACAGGTGAACTCAGGTTACACATGCATGAAACTCAGACTTTACTAATATATGTTTGATATCAGCCTTGCTGTTACCACTAAGATAAAATGTTCTGTTTTTCACACCTTTGCTCATTTATTCTCGTTAGTAGTTCTTCTTATTTTTGAAGGCAAAAACAAGCCAGTACTTCGACATGTACAACCTTTATACTTACAGACAATTTAGATGAGTAAAGAACTTTACATACCTGCCACGTTTAGTTGCATACTTGTTTTTTATTGTTATTATTATTATTTTTAGTTTGTTAGTGATTTATTCCTGTACTTTGTTTTATTTTTAAAGATTCATCTCTGTACATTTAATGAAATTGTTGGTTTCCAATCATAAGATCAACCACTTATGTTGAATGGACATAATGCCACATGTGTAGTAGTCATTAAACACGTTCACACTGAAGCAATCAGATTGTTAAGTAGCATCTTTTCACAGCACTTACACCGTGGTATAATTAACTTTATTGAACCATTAAAGTTTAGCCCATACAATAAATGAGGAGAAAATGGCATTCATTGAATTAGTCTGTGAGTGTTTTGTCATTAAGTATGCATAGTGCTACACTGTGCTAAACGCTACTAATTAAAACGTGTGAAACACAAAGATTTTATGGCTGTAGCCCTTAATAAAAGGAAAAATAAATATGAGATGTCACTTATTTAAATAGAGTTTTAATAAATGTCAAATGTGAGACAGTTATTTATGCATGCAAGATTTGAGAGGACAGAGAAATTGGAGCTGTCGGAGTTTCTAAATACCAGCAGGAATTACAATTTATTTTCTTTCAAATTCCACAACTTTTACATACAAGCTTGTTGAACAACGACATGTGAACACTTGAAACTCTCATAAAAGATGAGATTGGTACATACTCACTAGTCAATATTAACACCCAAGGGCTAGGATTTAATTGGGTGAAGCGTGGTCAGCTATGGCGCTGAGCATTTAATGGCTTTACACCAGGGTCACATGCTAACACGTACTGTGTAGTGTTCAGTTACAAAGGAGAGTTATGGAAAGAAATTAAAGTATTGTGTGTTAATCATAAAATATTCAAGAAATAATCATTGTGAAAAACCTTTGCTGTACCAACAGGCAAATTTAATACAACCGAACTACATGTGCAAAATGTGACGATGATGTCACCTTCTTGATATTCAGAGTCAGTTTTCCAATGTAGCTTGTTGTCCTGAAGTTTGACGTAGTTGTTTTCTTTTTAAAAAAATCAGTAATCAACAGGTGGCAGCGTCAGCATCGCTGTGAACTCTTCGTATTTGACGATCCCATTTGACTTGATGTGTGCCTCTCTGAAGAGGTCGTCCACTACACGAGGAAGATGGAGAAAACATAAGAGCATAAGTGGATAAGCAGCCAAATCGCACCATAAATTATGGTTATAATTAGTGTTATTGCTGTTGCTATTGTGAGATATTTAACAGGGATGAAATAAAGAAAAACAATATTGACTGAGAAGAATATTTTGCAACACAACACATTATATTTCAGTCACAATATTCCCTTCCAGTATTTATCTGTGAGCTGTACTCATACTAGTTTCCTAAGGGTTTATGTCTCTTCATATCATACACCATGGACCCTTGTTGACTTAACTACAAAAGTGTAGTTAAAGATTTTCATTCCAGTACTTTTTCATGTCTTGAAAATGTCCTGAATACTCAAAATGGTTGTCTGTTGTCTCTTCTTTTAGGAAATTGGCATTACTATCTTGTTCAGCAGTTCGGGAATCCAAAAATTTGATAAATGTCTCCCCACTGAGAAGCCTTTTGAGCTTCATTTAACTATAAACAGCTTAATGTACACAGAACCCATCCACAGACTTTGAAATACAGCTTATGTTGCTCTGAGACCTGTCACTGTGTGAATGAGGTGGCTTTGAAAAACTTAAAAATCCACCCTGGAGATTTAACCAGATATCCGAATCCCAGCAGGAGTCCTTCCATTAAAACTCTCAGCTTGAGGTTCATATTTAACGCTTTACATCTGAAGTGAAACAAAACATCAACAAGAGAATTCACAGTGTCCTTAAATGACAGGAAGTGCAAGGGACTCATGTGTTTGGGTGCAGGCAAAAATAAAAAGCCTTCTTACTAAGTAAGACATTGTCTGTGATTTAATTAGGCAATACAAAAAGTTGTGACGCTAAATCACTTAAGCTGCATCATATGCCAATCAGTCACAGATTTTAGCTTTTTGTGGAAATTAAAACAAAGCCTCAGGATCAACTATTCAGCAGCTTGTCAGGGGAACAAGTTCAGTACAAAGGTGGTGTTGCCCAGTCCGTCCCCCTGGTGTCACAAAACTTGTGCCCCCTGTTCGATTGACCTGTACGGTCAGACATCTGCCAGGGTTTGACTTCAGCTATGATTTCAAGGTTGAAAAAATCTATAGAGGTCACAGATGATGTTACACACCTCTGTGCTGTAACCCCTTCAGAGAACAAAGCTTATAAATAGTCCTCAACATATGTCTTTGTTGACATTGCTATTGCTAGGGCTTTACTAGTATTCATAATATTCTGTCGGGTAGTGTTAGTGAAATATTTCACACAATATCTCTCTGATGGGAAAACAAATTGACGCTTAATCAGCATGCAACACAACAGCAAATGCATTTCCTGACAGGAAGGAGGGAGTGGCCTTTAGGAGCCACGGAGTAAATACCAGGAGAGAAACTATTGTAATTACCTACGAGATTCTGAGCTCAGCTCTAAAGACAAACTTCCTGCGATTAGTCACTTTTTGAGGGGTGGGTCAGTTACTGTGTCAAGATGCAGAACACGTGTATCATTAAAGAAATCAACTGTGGAAAACTATCAGGTTCAGAGTTCATTATAAATTCATTTTTTTCTCCTGATTCAACATTTGATATTTACTGCAGTCATAAAGTATTCAGATAAATGGTGGTTTATTGGTGTTGCGATGTTCGATACTGAAGCAAAGAATAAGTTCTTTGTACTTATAGAAATATGGAAATGGTTTATTGGTTATTTCTCTGCAAAGGTGAGAGGTGTATCTCTTTGCATCTTCCTGTGAGCAGGATTAAAACTAGCAAAATGAATTTCACAAACTTTGTGGAGAGACAGACCATAGTGGTGTCCTTCCTGTCGTGCAGTGCCCTACAAGCTCAGCTATTTGAGCTCAGATCGAAACGTCCTCAAGATATTTATTAGAGACCTTAAGACTCACTTTGGATTATGAAACACTACGTGATCATCTAATATTGGCAGTATTGTTGCGAGGTATCAGTAAAAAGGCTCAGCTGTAGGCCGGTAACAACGTAACATCTCATTAATTGGAAACTTCATTTGCTCTACCTTCTTTGTTTGTGAGTTTCTCTCCTAACATGGTGAGCTTGGCCCGCAGCTCAGATGCCTCGATGTATCCCTTCTTCTGCTTGTCCGTCATCTTCAAGGCCTCCAGGATTTCCACTTTGGGATCCTCCTGTTGCATCTGTCTGTGCATTATTGACAGGAACGTAGAGAACTCCACCTCAGCAGACTTTTCTAAACACAAATGTGAAATCAGGTGGTACATTTTATTTAACCTTGATTAATGTAAGTTTAAAAAGAAAATGCCCTTTGCTCTTGTACTTCTTTAGGCCCTTTGTTATTCTTATTTGCTCTCTTTTCCCTGCATTTCTTAAGGATATATAGTGTTATACTGTGTGTAGCACACATTAAGAAGGCTGTAAGAAAAATGTACAAAACCACGAATTTTAAAGCACAAACACCAGTTTATGCTTCAACAGTAGTAGTAAAGACCGTCAGTGCAATTTGAAATTACTGTCATTTAAACGTCACCTCTCAGACTTGTCCCTTATGCTACACTTATGTGTCTAAACCCACAACAAGCTGTTATTCAAAGACAAAAAGACTTTAATTTACTGCATGTTATAGTTTACCAATTTTGTGGACTTGTAGATGTCTCCTGATTTCACCAGGTGTGGGGCTTGTACCCAGGCAGCGCATAACTGTGATCAGGTCATTGTTATTTATCTTGCCGTTTTGATTCTTGTCATACAATGAGAAGCACTCTTTGTACTCTGCAGTGAGGAAAACAAAGTTTTTGAATGACAGTACTTTTTTCCCCCCTTGTTGTAATTAGTGAGGAGCTTTCACAGTAAATCTTCGGTAAACAGGAATTAATTCGACTAAAAAAGAAGAGAGTTTGGTTGTTTTGTACAAATAAATCATTTCAAACATCAGTAACAGAGTGAAACAGTGATCGACAACATGCACCTGTAGATGAATCTTACCATTGATCTGAGCTTGTGAGAGGAATTTAGCCTGCAAGGTGACAATAGTGTGGCGTCACTTGTTAGGTAAATACAGAAAAATGGTCTGTTGTGTAAGAAAATACACAAAAAGGCTCAATGGAAAATGGAATTTCTTACCATGTCTGAGACTGCTGCGTTTCTGTTCAGGAAGAAGACAGTTTACTGAAGCCTGCGTCACCTGTCCCTCCACCTCTGTTTAAAGTCCACCACCCGTCGTAATTTAATATCTGTTGCTGTGGAAACACAGATATCGGATCCACAGCGCTGCATTGTCCTTCCTCTTACCACCCCTCCCATAAAAGGGACCGCTTACTACTAGACAACTACCATATGTTACCACAGTGACACATCATAAAAACGTTGTCTAACATCAAGTTAAAAGCAAGATTTAAAACTCCCAGATAACTTCAGATAAATATCTAAGTGATAGTATGACGTTTTTTGTTTTGTTTTTTTATTTAAAATGCACATTTAAAAAATCCCATACACCATGGAGCAGTGCTATACAAATCATATTAGAATCCAAATTTTGCAATAACAAACTGTGCAGGAACAAATATTTGCAGACATCTAAACCCACCTGTAATGATGCAAATAAATGTATACATTTATGTATTTTTTCTGGATTTGTGCTGACATTCTGTTTCGCTCCATTAAGATCAAACTACCGTAAAAATTAGAGACTTTTTTTCTAAGTGAGCAAACATAGAAATTCAGCAGGGGATTAAATATACTTCAGCTTGAGGTTTATATTTAATGCTTTAGTTCTGAAGTGCAACAAAACATCAACAAGAGAATAGTTGATGTTTTGTTGCGTGCGTCAGACTCCGTTTTATCTTTTAAATCCTGTTTAAAAACTCATTTATTCAACATAGCTTTTCCATCTACTGTAGTTAGTGTCCCTATTTTATATTTGGTTCAATTTCTTATTTATGTACTTCATCTTTTAGCTATATCTGTTCTTATATTCCCTTTTATTGCTGTATAAATAAACAAATAAACTTGTATTGTATTGTAATTCACAGTGTCCTTAAAAGGCAGGAGGTGCAAAAGACTCGGGTGTTTGGGTGCAGGCGAAATAGAAATGCATGGGATTCGACTAGGTGATACAAGAAGGTGTGAAAAGATGCTAAATCACTTAAACTGGGTCATATGCCAGCCAGTCATATGACCCAGACTGACTGACCAATCAACAGAGAGCCTGTTATTTATGTAATGCTGATGTTTCATGTTAAACTGAGACTTCTTATAGTGGCCTCCACTTAAAGATTAGTCAGGTTTAATCTTGTTATTTTAATATTTTGTCATTGTATTGCTATTTATTTTTACCTTTTATAAATCCATATACACTATACCGCCAAAAGTATTCACTCACCCATCCAAATCATTGAATTCAGGTGTTTCAATCACTGCCACAGCCACACGTGTATAAAATCAAGTAACTATGCATGCAGACTGTTTCTACACACATTTGTGAAAGAATGGGTCGCTCTCAGGAGCTTCCAGCATGGTACCGTGACATGATACCTCCTGTGCAACAAGTCCACTCATGAAATTTCCTCCATACTGAATATTCCACAGTCACTGTTAGTGGTATTATAAAAAGAGGAAGCGACTGGAAACAACAGCAACTCCACGAGGAGAGTGAGGTCAACAGATGCTTAGGCACTTAGTGTGCAGTCGATCACGACAGACCTCCAGACTTCATGTAGCCTTTAGATTAGTTCATGAACAGTGTGTAGAGAGCTTCATGGACTGGGATTCCAGAACAGAACAACTCAAGCCAAACATCACCATCATAGACAATTTCATGCTCTCAAATACATAGGAACAGTTTGGGGATGGCACCTTCCTGTTCCAACATGACTGTGCACCAGCGTCCACAAAGACATGGATAAGTGGATAACTTTAGCCTGCACAGAGCCATGGCCTCAACCCAATAGGAGTAAATTAGCCAAGGCTTCTCAGTATCTGACCTCACAAATACACTTCTTTAAGATTGTTCAAAAAGTCCCATTAACACTCCTGAACTTTGTGGAAAGCCTTTCCAGAAGAGTTGAAGCTGTAATAGCTGCAAAGGGTGGGCCAACATCATATTCAAACCCTATGGATTAAGAATGGGATGTCACTGAAATTCAAATTTGAAGGCAGATGAGTGAATACTTTCTACATTTTAAAAAAACAACTATTATTAAGGGTTTTTTGTTTGCCATGCAACTACATTTCTATAAATATGCATATTTTAAGATAAAGTAATATACTTATATACTGTAACTACTTCTTTTTATCTTTTCCGACAGTCAAGAGAGGACCATGTGTAACCATAGCACCTGTTTCTTCAGGGGTGTTAAAGATCAATATTACAGCATTCAGCTGTTAATAGACTGGATTCTTTGAGGCTATGCAAGGTCAGCTTTCTCTTTTTCCATTCAGGTTGCTTCGTGGCACCGTCATATGTCAGATTAAGTGAATTCTTTAAAAATAATTCATTGCCAAACATTCCCAAAATGTCAATGCTCCACAGGTGTTTAAGTGGCACTTAATTCATTTGAATTAACAGCGAGGCTTGAATTTGTGCCTGATCTTAGGGTCCTGTGCAATAGATTTTTAAATGCAACACATTCACAAGTTATATTTGAATGACTGGTTGCAGTCGTGAGGCAGTGATTGGTTTCTAAGTAAAACAGAACATGTGTAATGGTAATTGAGAGGTAAATAAAGGACCATAGGAGCTCACTTTGTCTTTATTGGCTAAATCCCAGTCCAGTATTTATACCTTTAATTTTAACACATTCCCATTTGGCCAAAATAATTTAAAAATGATGAACAGATTTATTCCCAATTTGCATTAGTAAATTAAACATGTATGACATGAGAATTGCAAAATCTACCCTAATACTGATAACATGATGCATGACAGTGTGCAGTGCTGGTCTCTTTTATGATTTCTCATGCCACAAGATTCAAGCATTAAAAAAGTGAGACAAACAGCGAAACATTTCACATACGTCAATATAAAAATCTACAAAGGAGGCAAATTCCCTGCTCAGTACTGGGACAGGAGGCAGAATATCCTTGAGTTTAACAGTGAAAACCAGTGCACATCAATGAGTTTTATTAAGTGCCATAGTTAAGCACAGCTAATGTCTCTGCCACACAAAATGTGAGAAAATGCATTTTTTAAAAAGAAAGAAAAGAGAGCAGTTTCTTTCACTTATAAAAACATACAACACTGGTGAACCCTTTCAGTGGCTCTTCTTTATATGCAAAGTGTAGTAGGACCAGGGCTCCGGCACATAAATGAGCCCGGGGTACTTGTTGCGTAGCACTGGGTCATTCCACAAATAGGCCACCCACAGAGCCACAAGCAACACGGTAACACCGAAACTATAGAACAGGAACAGACCGTTACTGTCGGGGCCAAGTCCTTTATGATGTTGGAATATCACCATAGCAACCATAGCAACGAAGGTGAGGAGGAAAAGTTCAGTGATTTGTCCTTCAGTGACCAAGTACCTAGAAGAAATTTTAAAAAAAGAGACAGGAGAAGTCAGAACATCAGTGAGAACCAAATACTAAATGTCCAACAAAATATTATTATAAGGAAACTGCAATCTTTATGGAAACATCAATACTGCTATATATTGCAACAATCCTATTCACATTACTAACTATATTACCGTTTAGATGTCAGATAAGAAAAGTAATTGCTTTTCCAAAATGGCACAGGTTTCAGAGGATCGTCAAAGCTGCTCTCAAGCACGTCTATATCTTTCTTTGTGTGTAAAATTCAATTTGGACAATTGTTAGATGTTTGTTTATCTGGTTTAGTCGCATGTTCATTTTTGTCAGACTTTTTAGACAGAAAGAAATTGATTTTAGAAACAGGTTAGAAAATACTGGAGTTCAGAATACTAAAGGTCATTCTAAAAAATGTAAACAGTTTGGAGTGCAGAATAATTGGAGGGACTGTTCATAAGCTATTAACTTCACTTGTAGTACTGAATGTTTCCCTGGCTTTACTTTAACCCCTTAGCAGTCCTATTAGTCCCCTAAACCATCCAATGTCCCGTGGGCGGTACGTCCGACTGCTAACAGTTTAAATGTGAGCGTTACTGCTGTCCGTCTACTCTTTTCTTTATCTCAGTTAGTTTAGATTATGAAAGTTATTTGTAATCATCCCAATTAGTGTTAAGCATTTCTTCTCTAAAGCCCATGATTAGACTTCAGATGTCCTTCACAGTTTTCATCACTTTAATAACAACTGAATGTATTCATGGTGAGTTTGTGTGTCTGGTAATCTATGTAGTGTGTCTAAAGGATAGACTGACCAATAGTAGAGAGCGCTTGGTCCCAGCAACAGCCAACCAGCAAGAGGAACCTTTTTCTGTTCTTCACCACTGGAGAAGCAACCGGTGAAGTAGATGAACAGAATGATAAAGAAAGGAATATACCTGGCGAAAAAAAAAAAGAAGCAAACCATTATCCTCTGCACAGGATGAACATTATGTTCAAGTACATCTTTATAAATGGGAAATGAAAAATATTATTGAGCTCGGCTCAATGAAACCCTAAAAAAAGTAAACAGTATTTAACAAACCACAAAAGCAGACGGAGAAAAAAAAACATTTTTCTCTTTTTGTTATTAAATGTTTAGACATGATAACGATAATGAGGTCATTTGTTTAACTTAACATCTGCAAGAATTATTAGTACATTTTTAAGCAGTAAATTAAAATGAAAGTGGCAATTTAGCAGAACAGTTGTAAAAATAAATGAATCTAATCGCTGATCAAGAATGTAATAAAATAAACTGCATTTTATTTAAATATTACAGGGATGTGCTGTACATGGTCAGTTAATAACATTAATAACACCTCTGAAATCTATTAAACTGTCAGCTGGTCTCAAGCTAGAGTCTTTCATACCACCCAGAGTTTGTAATTATTATTGATGGTTCTTATTTGTGTAAATTTAGTCCGACTGTAAATGTTTCATCTCCTGTAAAACGATTATCTCCATTTGGATGAGCCCAAAGATTTAAAAGGAACATTATTTTCCCATCAGGTCCACTTATTTGCTCCATCCATTCCATCCATCCATCCATTCGCTACCGCTTATCCTTTTCAGGGTCGCGGGGGGTGCTGGAGCCAATCCCAGCTGTCATAGGGCGAGAGGCGGGGTACACCCTGGACAGGTCGCCAGTTTGTCGCAGGGCCAACACACAAGGACAGACAACCATTCATACTCACATTCACTCACAGATTCACACCTAGTGGCAATTTGGATTATCCAATTAACCTATCCCCACAAACTGCATGTCTTTGGACGGTGGGAGGAAGCCGGAGTACCCGGAGGGAACCCACGCAAACACGGGGAGAACATGCAAACTCCACACAGAAAGACCCTGGCCTGATGGTGGAATTGAACTCAGGACCTTCTTGCTGTGTGGCAACAGGGCTAACCACCGTGCCACCGAGCTGCCTGAATGAATTATTTGCTCCATTAACGGCTTTTCATTATATTTGTCAAACTAATTTGGCGAGAACAGCAAGTGACTATATGAGTTTAACATAGTCTCTGCTCATATTCCTGCTTCCTTAACAACTACACCGATTTTTGCGTACTATTAGTGTATCACAAATCACATCAGTACTACAATTTATGCTTGCAACTTAGAATTCAAAGGATCCTGGATATGTGTACGAAAGTGCACATATCCATGTTTGTGTACTCATTTATATTTTCATGTTTAAAAGATTATGTTCTTCATATTAAAACATAAATAAAAGAATGTGTATAAAAGTAACCTGTTGGTTTTGGGGCCAAGGCGCTGAACACTTCACAGCTGCACCTTCCCTCGTGCCCTGTCATCTGTCACAAAGCAGTTCAACCCTTCATGAGGCTGCTTATGTAACGCCTGAGCAGAGGAAGCTTAAACACTGTCTCAACTCACTCATCTAATTTCATATGAGTTCTTTGGCAGCACCGGAGAGCAAGGGGATAAAAAGACAACTACAGTACAGTTCATCCTGATTCAACATATTAGCAATCTCCCTACTCACCCTCTATCTTCTTTCCAGAACTGCAATACTCAAACCACACCCATATCTGCATTACTGAGCGAACAGCAGACTCGGCTACGGAAAACTGTAATTCCTTTACCTCAGCAGTGAAAATGCAATGCTGGAACATTATGAGGGGAATAAAACATAAACAAACCCATAAAACTAAAAGTCTGTGCAATAATAAGAAATAGCAGGAGAGCTATAACTCTTCTTCATTTTAAGATAAAACCAAGTGATCTGGAAAAATTCTCCGTTTGCCTGCACGTAATAGGATTCATTTTCATTAGGATTCATTAGAGACAAAAACTGGTCACACATTAAAGCTTAATACTAACTGTGTACAGATTTCCTCAAAATCTCTGCTCTGATTACTTTACTTGCCTTTGTATGTTTTTTCAAAACACATCCATGATAACCCCCCGCCCCACCAGGGGAAATTGTGGTTCAAAGCAATCCATTTCTGTACATGCAACATAATTATTGTAAACATACCACATTAAGTGTCCCAGGTGTTCGTCATAATAATACAGCAGCTCAAAGGAGTCAATCTGAGGGAGAAGGACCAAATTAAATTCATTAAAACGTTCCCAGACACACAACCTTATGCTACAGTGCCACCTAGTGTTTTGATGTGTAACTTCAACTTTATTACAGAACTCACAGAGAGCAAAACAAGATTTAAAAAAAAAACAGCTGTGAACAACATTAAATAATATAAAAATATAAAAAGACACTGGCTTTACCTGAAGTGACTGTATATTAAAAATGTTATAACTTACTGAAGAAAAGATTTCACGCAATTGATGTTTTTCCGAATGTGTAAAATCACATTTCATGAGATGATGAGTTGTTGAAAACTGTTGACCTGAGGACTTTAAGCATTTGATGAAGCCTCACACACACACACACACAAAAGCTGCTGATTACAGTTGCCAGTTACAGATATGAAATCTAGAGAAATCCAAGTTCATGTTATTCTCAAATGGCAAAGAGTTGTTGTCTGCATTTCCTAAGATTAAACCATTCAAAGGACTGCAATTAAAATGGTCAAATCTTACAAGTATCTAGGTATCGTTATAGATCAGAATTTGTCATTTAAAACTCACATTCAAACGCTTGTGGCTAAGTTGAAACTAAACTTGGACAAAGTTACCTTTTTAGAAATCAATCTTGTTTCTCTCTCAAAGTGAGAAAACATTTAAATTTATGCACTTTTTTTTTCCTTTATTGGATTACGGCGATCTGCTTTTTATGAATGCACCAGTCCAGTACCTAAAGAGATTAGATACTATCTACCATGTTTTATTGTTGGCTGTGGAAATTGTGTACATTACTGTTCTCTGTATGCCGCTGTTAAATGGCCATCTCTGTACAGTATATCTACAGACTTTGCCATTGGTTGGTTTTTAACTATAAATCTCTCCTTGGCTCGTTTCCTCCTGTTTACATGTGTTTAAACTGCAACTAATACAACCTTCGTTCTCACAACATCATACAACTGATTGTCAGAAATGGTTGCCGTAAAGGCGTTTAAGTGCATTTCAAGAATGGAGAGAATAACTCTTTTAGTCAGTGTGACTGTTTTAAATGTGGCTCTTAATGATCTGCTATTGCGTATTTTTCCCATGTTTGTACGAATTGTTGCTATGTTGTCATGTTTTGTAACTTTTGCTGCCATGATGCCAGGTCCCTCTTGGAAATGAGATTTAAATCTTAATGAGACTTTTACTTGGATAAATAAAGGAGTATAATAAAAATTGAAAAACACATATAAAAGTAGAGATCTGGAACATCAGTCGACACCTCAAAGTACTACGCTGAAAGATGAGAGCAAACGTACATTTCTGTAGGCAGTAAATGGGTTTAAACCTCACAATGAAATTCACATGAACCAGTGTAAAAAAAATGTTTTTAAAAACCTTCTTTGACTCTCTAACTGTGGGGTAAGAAGTTGTGCATCAATCAGATGTTTGAACAACTACATATGAATCTTGGTTTTGTAATAAATAAGATCCGTAGTGATTTCTTCCCTTGGAATCAGCAGGGAAATAAATCAGGAACAAATAAAGCCAGGGTATAAAATCTTAACATGACTGCTGTTGTGCTGCTACATTAACCCACAGTATATAAGTGTTGACAAACACCACACTATCAAAGGTACGATGTTCTGCTTTTGGTCGATGTGACAATAAAAGATGTGATGACGACGACGAAGGAGCAGAGAGAAAAATAAGCTCCACTCCCACACAGCAGGATAAAGTCTGCTGCATCTAAACAGCTGCGGTGACGCGTGTTTCTGCGGTGTACTCTCAGTTCAAAAAGAACAGCTTTTTTAAACTGCTGAAGACAAACAATATTTTTTGTACGAGCAGCATGCATGAAGTTGTCCCACTTACATAAATAACATACAACGACACACTTTGACAACCTTCTCCATGTATTCCAGTATTCCCACTAAGCCCACCATGGATCTTAGCTGTTTGCCATCTTACCAGTGAAGCTGGTTTAAGGTCTTTGATGATGGGGTTCTCCCTCACTGATAGGTGCAGCTGATAGCCACTCAAGATGAGCCGGTGGTTGATGGAGTCTCCCACCAGGTGGATGCTGGCTCCCATGACGAACGTGATGATGCAGAGGTACACGGCTGTGCGAGACAGCACTCTCGGACTGCGCTCAATCAGCTGAATGGAGCAGAAACAAACATGTATACCTTAAAAGAGTTATTCTGGGGACACCTTTATGAACTGGCTTCAACCACAGCGCCTGTGCGTCATCTCTGAGACTTTTTTTCACACAGCCTACATGTGCCGTTTTTCTTTTCTTGACTATGTTTTTGACTTTATCTAGGTGTGTTTGTGTTTTTATCTATTCAGCTGCACCTGCCTAGTTCTTCCTGTCTCTTAAATATAGATCTGCCTTAAAGGTAATGGATGTTACGGGGCAAATAGCTTGTTTCATAACACAACCACACGGATGACCTACATCCTCTAACAAAAGCATGCAACTTGCGTCATTACACTGACTAGAAGTAACACTGTCTCTTTGCCAGTCAGGCGTTGAATTATGGGTTTTTATGTTGGTTTGCAAGAACCTAAATAGTCTGCCTCAAAGTGCACATAAGTGGCTACCTGAAAAATCATAACACAAAATTATTACACAACATTTTAACTCATGCAATTCTGATTCCTGAAACTGAGAAAAAAAAATTAACCCAAAATGATGTTGGATATAATGTTGCCATGTTGAGTTACAGTCTCTTAAAGCAGGTATTAAACAAGCTCAGTAATCCCTGGAAGGTTTTTCTAACTAGGGCCTGCCCAAAATTAGAATTTTATTGGTGAAAACTAAACTATCAAAAATCAAAACATGGCCAGCAGTCACAACATGCAGAGCAGAAAAGGAATGACAAGATCTGGAATGCTGAAATCTTTGCCTCTCCTAGACTTGAGAGTCTTGAACGGTCCTAACTTTATAGGAATCACACATAAGCAATACGATACGAAACATTAAAAGTCAGCACAGATTTCAGTCTGTAAAGCAACAGAAGACCAGATTGTCCAGATGCAACTGCAGTAAAAGCAATATTGAAATAAAGAGTTACACAGTAGGTCAAGTGTTCACATAGAAATTATTCACCGGAGAGAATACAGAAGACCTGATGTAGTCTTCACAATCACTAAGACACTCTGCTGCATTAAGACTTGCCTTGAGCATTAGGAATGGTGTTATGACATTGTAGGCCATGTGGAAATAGTCTCCAGCACTGGGCTTGTTCAGTGGAAACCACTCCAGAGGAAGAATGATCTGAAACACATGTAAGAAAATACTGGTTTCCACTGAAATTGAAAATATTGATGTAACCATCCATTTGCCTTTTTTTCCTTCATTAGATTTAAACCACAAGAGGTACGAAGAAATTGCACTGAGCCTTCCTACCATAACAATAGGCCTTCCAAAGTCTAATATCCAGTTCTGCACAGTGAGACACAGCCACAGGTCAAAGTGGAAGCGCTGCTTTTTCTTCTGTGGCACATTTTCCTTTGAAACACCAGGAGCGCTGTAAACATACAGTAAGTCATTGTAATAGAGCAAGCATTACCAAAGCAAAGGGCAACACAGCTGCCGAGCACTTAACAGACATGTTACTGCATTTATTTCAGGTTAAGAGCACGTGGTTTCCTTACTTGAATTCGAGTATTTTATATTGATGGTAAAACTACAGTATTTTAAAATGTTATTTTAAAACACAAGTTTATTCTCTTTTCACCCCCCCTTGCATCCTCCACTCTTTGATTTCAGAGTAATAATTATGCAGCAGCTGTGAAACTGCTGAACTATCCAACCTGCTGTTTATTGTGTGCAGCTGTGCAATTTCCTGTAGCATGTTGAGCACAGTCCCTATAGTTCAACATATGCACTGGGAAAGCAGGAAGATGAGTGCAGATAAATCCCCCATGGGCTTTCAGCCTTCCTCAAGGATTACAGGCTCCCTTGTAACACCAGCAAAACCAGTATTTACTGCAAAGAGTGCTGTGACCATCTGCATCTACCTGAAATCCTTTTTCTTGCCATCCAGACATATTGATCATGAAGCTGCAAAAATTAATGAAGCCACACAAATTTTTTTGCAAAGCTCAGCTGCTGGGAAACTTTTGCAGCCACTTGTTGGTTTCAGTTCAACATACTGCTGCTAGTAGCAACCACTGCTGATTCAGCTTAAAGCTGTGTCAGTCTAACCTATGTGTCTAGACCAGGAATTTCAAACTCATTATATATTATGGAATATATATAGCCCACTTTGATCTTAAGTGGGCTGGACTAGTGACACTCCCCCTTTCTGTCAATGAAAAAGAAGTTCAGTTGAAGATTTCATCCCTGAGCTTTAATTAATATAAGAAAAAGAAAGGCAATTTCAATGGTACATGTCAGTTTTTCCACATGATAAAGAAATGCTGCTGTAATATATGAAAGAGATCTTTCAGCTTGACTCTTTGAGCTTAAATTGTAACAACTAAATGTGTGAATTACAAAAGGAATTGAGGTAGCTCGTTGCCCTGTGATTATAAAATTTCACAGGAGTAAGTGAGTCACAAAAACTGCCCAGTTTTTGTGGACCAATTGTAAAAGTTGTAATTACTTTGGTGTAGTAAAGATGTCCATGTGGGAGGGCTTTATTAATAGGAAAAGATTCAAAACTTATGCATTTAATAGTCCAAGAATTTATGCCCTCCTTCCCATTTTCCAAAGGATCCAGTAGGCCACAGTGGAGTCTTTGCAGAGCCGATTATGGCCTGTGACGTTTGAAAACACTGGTCTAGACCTGTAAAGACACAAGTCAGGCTTTATATGACTTAAGGTCTCAAATGCTGTAGTTGCACGTGTTCTTTTCCTATAGCCCCTTTTGATTTTTTGCTTTTGCTTGACCTGATCTATTTTGTCTTCTTTTTACATGATTGTGTTTGCTGGCCAGATGTCTGAAGACTGAAAACAGACTAGTTACATCCAGATCAGCTACACAGCCAGTGTGAGATTTTCCAGAGTTAGCTGGTGTTCCTGTCATGTCATCAGAAAGCCTGAAGACAAGAGCGACGTAAGTACAACAACAGGCTTCCCCGCAAGAAGCCAGGATTTTGTTTCTACAACATTTGGCTTGAAATAACGCCTAACTGGCGCTATCAAACGGAGCATGCGCGCCTCCTTGTTTTCATTTGTACGTCCAATCATTCACTTGGCGCGCAGTCCAGCCTCCAGCATCTGTTCCTGGATACATGCAGGAGAAGAAGAGATAAGCAGATCCTGTACTGTAGGAAACATTTATTCTCCGGGTTTTACAGACGTTCGTTTCTTTAAGCTTTACGCTTTCTGTGTTTATGAACCGACTGCACTTCAACAAGGCGACGATAACAGCAGCGACATCTTCATGTTTAGCGTACAAACCTCTTCAGGTGTAAATCCTTGCCTTGACGCTTTCGTACAGTCTGCATCGTTGTTTCCGTGTAGGCAGCCGATGGTCTCGTTTACTGTACCTACTCTTACAGCTCCGTGGTCACAGGTGTGGAAAGCTAGCGGGATTCAACTACCCTAAATATTTTGTGTACAGTTAATGGTCACGAGCGCTGTCGCTTCCGGGCTGTCGCCTTGTTTCCGCCCATAAGGAGAATCCACCAATCAAACTGCAGCAAAGACACTAGAAGTGGATAAGGCACACTTCACCCCGAGTTATGATTTGTAGGCTAGGCAGCTCAATTACCAACTTCAGTCTTACGGATTAAAAACTATAAAATACAATCTTCGAAGCCTGAATAAATAAATAAGCAAATAAGTGAACTTATAAGGACGTTTTTTAGTCTTCAAGTTCAAAGTTGTTATAATGAATGTAAGAATTCAGGAGCCACGCGCATCAAAATACAGAATTCTGTGCTTAAATAATGAATTGTATAATACATTCCGCATTTGTAAATTCATTTTTGAATTCCTCATTAAAAAACTGATTTTCAAAATATTTTTAAAAAAAACTTCATTTCAAAAACCATTTTCGAATTCCAATTTAACTGATTTTCAAAATGCTTTTTAAAATGGCGATTCCACTCCTCATTTCAAAATCCATTTCCCTTTCCTGTTCGCTCACAGATTAGCTCAGGGATTAACATTTGAATTAGCAGCTGGATTATATGGAGGGCTCTCGTTAAAAACCAGGAAAACACAGTTTAAAGACATACATGTTAGGTTAACGGGTGTGAATGCGAGGTGGGATTGTTGGTCCTCCGTTAGTGACCTACCCATTGTTTACCCTACCTCTCACCTAGTGTCAGCTGAGATTTCCTGCTGCTCCACTTCAACCCTGAATTAATTATATATATATATATATATATATATAGTATAATATTATATAATATATTAATATAATATATATATATATATTATATATATATAATTTAATATTTTATTTATGTATTTTAAATGTAAATATATATATATAGTATCCAATAACAATAGCAGATATAATAGATAAACTCATGTAAGGAGTTGAATATTCAGTTTATGGACCTTCTTTGGCCTCTTTTATAAAAATGTTCAGCACTCTCACATATTAGGCTGGGCTTATATTCAACCTGATATCAGTATCAACATTGACACATCAGGAAATTATTATGACTACATTACCATATGAGTAAATAACAAGCCTTAAATTTAAACATATCTGTTGTGATTTCTTTAAAATAGCTAAATATTAATGTGTTATCCTGCTGTCAATTCATGCAAATAGCTCACAGTGATCTAATGAAGAAAGTTTGCATAAAGTCTAAGAGCATTTTGACTTGCATGTGCACATAATTGGTCTGTAAGCTCTGTTTCAAAATGATAAAAGTACACTGAAAAGTGACTGCCTGTGCAATTATTCCATGATTACATTTCATCTTATCGGTCACAAGCTGATGAAACATATGATTTGACATGCAGATCACATTCAGCTCTGCCACTTGTCTTTTAATCAGCCACTTTAAATCTGCCTGTGGCAGAATATATAGACTCATTATTTTTAAAGTGGGCATATATAACACATTAGTGAAAGAGTGCTGCTGTTTACCTTCTGGATGGTAAAACAAAAAACACAGTGAAAGACCTGTTCAGGACAGTATGATTAGCATTTATGGGTGAAGACAGGAGTGTAGTTTGTTAGAATTTGTGCAATATCCAGTCCTGTAGTAATTTTGGGGTGTATTTATTCGTTCTCAGTATTAATGTACATGAAACACATACAGAACAAGTTGTATGAAATAGAACATTAGTTGACGTTGGCTGTTGATGCTTTTCGTAGCCCAGTAATGGTTTTGTAATTGTCCCTAATGTGGATGTGTGTGT